AACCCGACCCGTTTTTCAAACGGGTCAAATATGCGAACCCGAACCAGACCCGTTTATCAAACGGGTCGGGTCCAACCCGGATTTTCCGGGTCGGGTTTTCGGGTCGGGTCTAATATTGACACCCCTACCAAGGAATATACATAGGATGAAATAAGGAGCAAGTTTATGAGGTGCATAAGGTCGAAGCCAAGGAAAATGTTTACAATAAAAAACAAAATAGTGAGCATATTTAGGTGGCTGATTGTAGAGAATCTGGAATGAAGAGTGATTGGAAATTATAGAGGATGCAGTAGTACACAAGGCTTCAACCTAGATGTGAGCATGTAATTGGGATTTGATGAGTAGAGCATGAACAATGCCTAGAAGATGGCGATATTTCTGTTCGACTAGGCCATTTTGTTATGGAGTGAACGAGCAAGTATATTGAGGGCTAATACCATGATGGCTTAGGAAGGTAGTGAGTTGGGTATTGAGAAACTTGTCGACACCATCCGTTAGAAGGATGCAAATGGAGGTATCAAATTATTTTTCAACAAAGTTCTTAAATGTGATAAATTTTAATATAGTTTAAGATTTGTGTTTTAGCGAATATAACCAAGTATAGTGGATGAAGTCATCAATGAAGACCACATAAAATCAAAACCAACATTGGAAATAATATGGGATGGACACTTGATATCAGCATGTATAATTTGAAGAGGGAAAGTAGAAAAATTATGTGATTCATTAAAAGGTAAACTGTAACTCTTAACAAGAGCATAGGATGTACGATTTGAAGTAAAAGAAGAAGAAATACATAATTAATGTAGGAAGTTGCTTTGCTAAAACAGTCATGATAGAAAAGCTAGGATATCCCAAATGACAATGCCATAGGTTGGAGAAGGCTGAAATTGAGAGAAGAGCTACTGCATAAGCTGAATTTGTTGAAGAGGGAGGGAAAATTGGATATAAGTCTTTATGACATGGATTGTGAAGAAGATGCGCCAATTCTTCCGATTCTTTATAGAGTAGCCAGAACCATCAAAGTAAATGGATATGTCATTATCATTTGTAAGTTAAGAAATAGATAGGAGATTATTGGATAGATTAGGAACTTGAAGAAGAGGAGTTAAGGAGAGCTTACATGATGGTGTAGGAAGTAGTCCCTTTCTAGAGTGCATAATTAGAAGAGCATTCCCATTGCCAACTAGAACCTAATCAGAACTTTCATAAGTTGAAAGTTGCTATAGAGGTTGAATATCAAAGAATAGATGTGTAGTAGCACCGCTGTCTAGGTACCATGGAGAAGAACCATAAGCATTAGTGAGTAAGGCGTGAAGAGGAACTTGAGCTGGAGCCATTGGAGTGTAGGTGAGATCTCTTATGTGCCAGCAACTAAAGCAAAATGCCCCCGCTTGCCGCAAATTTGGCAATCCATAGGAAAATGAGAACACCCGCCCCTGAACAGAACAGAGGAAGAAATATTTCTTTGGTTATTTTGGCCACAACCACAAGTGAATTTGAAACTGCCACGGCCTCGACTGCGGAGGGATGTAAGAGAAAATTGAGCATTAGTTGAGGTAATAGAGTCTATGAGAGCAAGTTCTTTTGCAGCTTGAATCACAATGTTCACTTCTTCACTATAGAGAAGTGAATAAAGATCGCTGAGGCTTATTGTGTAGAGCTTTGTACTAATAGATGCTTGAAAGCTTGATAGTTCAATAGCAAACCATTTAAAATATAAAATATTATGTCTTCAGAATCAATAGAACCGCTACCAGTCGCGATGTTGTAAACTATCTATTTAACAGTTGAAAGGAAATTAGTCATAGACTGATTTTTCATGGTAAGAGAGTGGAGCTCATTTTTATGTTGAATGGTGCAGGAGCAATTTGTAAATTGGAGGTGTTGTTCAAGAGTAAGCCAAATGGAGTGACAAGTATCTAAGTTGAGAATATAAGGAAAAACCTTTGGAGATATAGTGGAGTAGAGAGCAGGAACCAAGATTTGATCTATGAGTATCCAAAGAATAAATTGAGGATTGGGGTTGAGTTGACCGGTAGTGGTGACAACATGTTTAGATGGACAAGTGGTGGTGCCGTCAAGGTAGCCATCAAAATCATTTACAGTAAAAGGTTTGAGGATTTGAGAACGCCAAGTTGGGCAATTATCACCAATAAGTTGTATGTGCGCAATAGTTTAAATTTTGGAGATAAGAAATTTAAGTTAAGATGAGATTGAAATGTCACCAAGCTTAAGTACAGTCGAATCCATGGAGAAAGACAAAACAAACCACAAGCAGCCCAAAAACTTTAGAATCCAAAGCCGCAAGACAGCTTCTCTGATATCATGTAGCAAATGTTAAACACAGTAGCAGTTGTATGCACACAAGCAAAAGTAAACTTAGAATAGGGAAAAACTGAAAATGTAAAAGAGATGTAAATGTGTATTCGTATGCAAGTAGTAGAATAGTATAGAGCTTTAAAATGCATGTTTATATTATCTTCAGTCCGTTAGACATTCAAGTGCAGAGATTTAGGCATCATTTGGAACGGCTTTTTTAATGCTTCTTAAAGCGGTTTTTATACTAGAAAGCCGCTTAAAAAAATCGTACCAAAAAATATTTTTCCGACAAATTTTCTGCCAGAAATCCGCCGAAAATATTTCTGACACATTATTTAACGTGGGAAGGGCTTTTCTGATGTGCGTTTTACCGTCGGAATAATTTCCGCTAGAAATGTTAATCTCCGACGGATTTCAGCCATTTTCCGACGAAAATGACCGCCGGTTAATGACGTTTTTCCTGTAGTGACTAAAGCTTTTTTTACCGATTAATATTTCAAACTAAAATTTTCCAAAGCTTACAAAAATGTAGGGGTTTTTTTTTTCTAAAGATAAAATCGCATATGTTGATCTGGATACTTAGAAACTTAGCATCCATATTAGAATTCTTTTGTTGTATTTTTTTGGTGTATTCCAAAAGAGCCCAGTCTTTATGTAGACTGGAATTTTAGCTTTCTTCCTAGCAAAATTACTGTGTTCATGTTGTTTAATATTTAAATTGGTCAAATTTAGCAATATAAAATAAATAAAACTTTGGGTAAAAGTAAGTAAATAAATTAATTCAGGCTTTGTTTGGGATACCTTTTTTGCGGCTTCTTAATTAAAGCAGCTTTCTAATTTTTGTACTAAAAAGCTACTTTAAAAAGCAATAAAAAAGCTGTCACAAACGAAGCCTATAATCTCATTTCAAACTATATGACTATATGATCAAGGATAAAAGGGGTGCTAGAGTTGAAAAGTCTACCATCAAATTTATTCAATCAGTTGCCAAGAAGGTTAAGTAAATTCAATATCTGTGCACTTATATTTGTTTTGTGTGATTAATATAAGTTACTATTAGAATCTTAAGTCTTTGATTGGAATGACTTTCTTAATGCTTCTTAAAGCAGCTTTTTAGTTAAAAATTTTAAATTTTTTAAATAAAAAACTACTTTAAGAAGCAATATAAAAGCCGGCTCAAATGAAGCAGATTGAATTCAGAAGATATTGATTGTTATCCTATTTGAGGAACTGCAATTTGAAACTTGTCAAATTTGAATTGACGTAATATTGTGAGCCTCCCAAAGTTACATCTCATATAATTTGGAAAAAAATTCTTATCTTTCATCAAAGGAAACATAAAAGCTTTTAAACAGTTTATATTACAACCATCACATGTCTTAAAATCTATGAAATTTATCACTACTATCGACAATATACATCGAATGTTACAGCTAAAATTTTTAAAAGCAAAAGAAAAAAAGCGTATCAAATAAATAAGAAAAAAGAGTGTGCTACAGAAATTTACAATCTGCATCAAAACTTCCAAACAATTCATGAATGCGGCTTCATCAGAATATCATTATTCTCAGAACCCCTCAAAATCTTGAACTGCGGATGAAAAGAATGGGTAGCCTCCTCAAATTGGAGCAACAAATAAATAAGAATGCTGAAAGACTGCAACTTTATCGAAGAAACTGTATAATTCTGACACCTCAAACCCAATAATCCATTAGAAATTTCCTAATAGTCGTTATAAGAGATCAATCAAATTTGGCTTAGAAACCTTTTGCGCTATCTCCATTCATGTTGGTTGGGAATGAACACCATTAGTACTAGTAGTAGAAACAACAACATCATAAGCAGATTACTTCCTTCAACCAAATGCGATCTCTTGTGACCACCTAAAGCTTGACCAGTTCGAAAAGCCTTGCCACAAATTGAGCACTTATAACTTTCAAAATTCTCTGGAGATTTTCCAACAGTTTGTGAATCACAATCCTGATTAATCAATTCCTTCTTAGCTCCTTTAATTTCATCTTTCTATGGCTTGAGCAGTGGCCGCCAAGAGCTTGATATGAAGGGAAGCTCTTGTCGCAGATTGTGCACACATACTTATTTCTCTTACAAGATTTATACATTCCAGATACACAATCATATTGCTTTGATGAACTCCCCTTTCCAACATCTAGAACATGAGAACTAATATCACCATGATCAAATTTTTTATTGAAACATGAGACCTTTGGCTTCTTGAACGGTCGATCTTCATCTTCACAAAGATAAGAGTGAACTTTCTTTCCACGCTCAATTATGGGAGGAATCTCATCTAATATATCTCTGATCGAATGAGTGCCTCTTGAGAGCATCAACAGACACAAAGCAGCATTCATTTCCTCATTTGCGTACTCCGAGGATAAAGCTGGAGAAGAAGAATAAATAGAGATCTTTGGTGTTCTCCTCCGCTTCCTAACTGACATTGAAATTAAGGAAACTTTCTTATTAGATTGGCTCGGCATTTCATCGGCATGCTCATCATAACTTCCCCCGCTCCATAATTCATCATCGTCATCATGTTTGAGCTCATCTCTGGCCATCTCAATTGAAGTATTCAATGAGGAGCAAACATTAACTGTTTCGGCATGAACTTCATCCTTCTCCTTCTCCGGACACACATCATGAAATCGCCGCGACTTCTTTGGCTTATCTCTAAGGCCATATATGCTAACTGGCTTGTCTTTTTCATCAATGAGAGAGCTTAGCACAACATGAGTCTTCATGTGACCTCCAAGAGATCTTCCTGTAGGGAAGCTTCGCCCACAGACTTTGCAAATGTGGTTCTCCATTGCGAGAAACTGAACCAACGAAAACATAAAAAGGTTAAGTATGAGAAGAAAAGAGAACCTTTCATGTGACCCCCAAGAGATCTTCCGGTTGGGAAGCTTCGCCCACAGACTTTGCAAATGTGGTTCTCCATTGCGAGAAACTGAACAAACGAAAACAACAAAGGATAAGTATGAGAAGAAAAAAGAACCGAGAAATCAAGTGAAGCTCGTCGGGTTTACGCAATGCAATCCTCCGTATCAAAGCCTTCTAAATTTATCTTAAAGAACTGATTTTGTATTTCTCGATCTAAAAAGAAGTGACCTTGGATGATCCTTTAGCTGCTACTTTGTTTTCATAAGCAATGGTGCACCTATCTTCTACGAGAGAAAGCTAAATGGTAGTAGAGCTGGTTGTGAGGCAAAATTCATGCATGGAAGAAATGTTAAAAGCAGAAAGAGTAAGGTGAGCAGTAGAAATAGCTGCACTTGTAGTGATCAAAGGATTTTGCAATTGGACGACCATGATTGCGCCACGCAGGACATCTGATGCATCACTTTATGTTAAGGGAAGCCGAGCTCTCGGAAACTACTTTTCCTTGATGTGTATTGATGTCAAACCGGAGGAATGGCAAAACACAATGACCAAGATCAGCTCTACAGCCAATAACATCAAACAGAAATGAAAAGCCGGCACCTCATGCACTTGATGGAAAGACCAAGCAATAATATAATCTAATATAATTTTTAGAATGTTTTAATTATTGAAAATAATTTCAAGATCAAACGATGTTCACTATTTTCTCAATAAAAATACTATTGCTCTTATGTAATCTAGTTGGCTCAATACTAAATTATTTAAATAATTAACACTGCTTTTAATAAACAAGGATAATTCTATATTTTTATTATTTTTCTGCTGCACTTCAAATGGTCCCGACAACTAAGTAAAAGCTTCATTCAAGCTCATATTAGATTATAATAATACAAACATGAGCCACGTGGCATGATCACCATTTGCCATGTGGCAAATGTGTGGGTGCCATTTGAAGCTGTAAGTCATGCATGAATATGAGATCAAGCCATAGTGTCCTTAATTTGTGCTCATTAATTTGACCAGGTTGTAACATATTATTTAAGATGACTGAATAATTATAATTTTCTTTTGTTTTTATTTCTATCGGCATGATTACCTTGTTAAAATTGTAATTTAACCTCTTAGGAGCACACCGCCGCCGCTTTCTATTTTTTTATCAAAAGCTAATGTTGTTGAATAAATTTATCTTGATAACAAGTTCGTTTGGATTGTTTCGTACTGACATCATTCAATAACTGTTATATGATCTTTAGTACTCGGTCGACTGTCATCTCCTGCCCTTTGTTGGCCTATGCTACTCAAATTTGACGTCTTAAATCTCCAAAATACCATTGACCATTGCAAACTAATCCTGACAACCTTAGTTGTTGATCGTCTTTGCCAACCATCAACCAACACAAACACCCCATCATCATGTATATCCTTTCCAATACTTTCAACTACTCTCAGAAGAGGTAAATCCGATAATTAAAAATTTATAATAGTGTCTTTTATAATTATGGAGAAGGCTGAGTTTCTATAATTTTAATCTAAATAGTGAATTGCTTC